CCGGACTTTGAAGTATTGAAGTAGCCCTACACCGCCAGCACCAGCTCGCTGTTCATACGACAGCCTTTCATTTACACCTACACAGCAGACACTTTCAAGGGACTCTACACAAAGCTGCCAGTCGCGAAGGCGCCCGGCGAGGCAAAGGATAATGGTATGGAGGAGAGCGGGTGAGAGGACGACGAATGGTTACCATTCTTCGACAGATCTATGCACGGGCAGAGATAACTGCGCGTGCCTGGCATAGGAAAGATGCTGCGAAGCGTGGCCACGTTCGTTAAACACTGGAAGCAAGTCGCCAAAAAATCTCATATGCTTCCAGAATAGTGCCATGTGAGGGCATGTATCAGCTTGGCCAGGCAAAGCCCATTGTCATTGTGGCAAAGGACTGGATGGCTCCTACTGCAGTCGATCTTGCGAAAATGTTCAAAGGAAAGTGCGAGTGCAGGGAGAAACGATGATGGGGAGGCTGGGAATAATATGAGTATGACCGCTTTCCAGAAGAACTATACATAGCTCAAAAGAACAAACGCAGTCTTGGATGGACTGCTTGGGGTTCAACCTGGTAGTCATGATCATCTGTGGTTGACCTCGGCGAACTCCACCAGGTCCTGCTTGCGGCCACCAGTGCTGCAACATCCGTAGCCTGGCAGAAACCGCTCACTGGAATCGTCCCATTTCGTGCGGCCTTCGCAGACATCGAACTCAAACAATGCCTGCTGCTCCACCGACAAGGCCGGCGGGTCGTCGAAATCGCTCTCCGAGTATGTTTTGAACCGCGACGTGTCTTCTGCGGAACTCACTTTGGGGCGGCAGAGGCTCGGAACTCTTCGGTGAAGCACCTCGTTGAAGTCGATCGTGCTGAACCATGGGTGCTTCTTGATGCCCGCGACGCCGTCCTCCATACATCCCAGTCGCCGCGACTCTTCCTTCAAGAGATTCCTGATCAAATCCTGGACCTCGGCAGGAAAGGAACTCGGAATACTGTACTCGCCCTTCACAATCTTATTGTAAGCGCTCTCTTTCGTGTCAGCGTGGAAGGGCACGTCGCACGAGAACAACTCATATGTTAGGACGCCCAATGCCCACCAGTCCACAGCGCACCCATGCCCCGTTTTCTGGACCACCTCTGGTGCCATGTACTCGTAGGTGCCGCACTTAGTCCACAGAAGCGGGTCGGCCACCTTGGCGAATCCGAAGTCCGTGAGCACCAAGTGGCCCAGTCTATCCAGCAGCACGTTCTCAGGCTTGACGTCCCGATGCGCCACCTTTTTCGAGTGCAGGTGCTCGATTGCCAGGATCAGCTCTGCGACCCACAGCTGCCCCTGCACCTCTGGTATCTTCCAATTTTTGATCACGGTGAACAGCTCCCCACCGTTGACGAAGTCCATCAGCATGTACATCGACCTCTCATCCTGCCAGCACGCCCTGAGATTCACTAGATATGGATGGTTTTTTATCATGCGGAGCACCTTGATCTCGTCCTTTTGGCAAGCCCGAAGTCGGTACGGAAGAACTGGTACTATGTCCAGCAGCAGGTTTTGTTCAAAATCAACAGCGGCCGATGTTGGGCAGGCGACTCTTGTCTAAAAAAGAAAACGCCTGCTGCGACACCGACAGCGAGTACTGTCGCTCTTCGTCCTTACTTTTACTCTACCCATTTCGATCGAACCCGTCCTTGATATGATTCACCATGTTCGCCTTGATCAGCGTTGCCTTATGGGTGATCTTCAGGGCCATGGGTGTGGTCTCGGGGCTGTCCTTCACCCACGCCACGCGAACGCGGCCGAAGCTTCCGGCGCCGACCGTGGCACCGAGCTCAAGGTCCGACAGCTTCCAGGTGGCCTCAGAGCGTGCCATCTGGGAGCCAGGCGTGTCGGGCTTCTCCCAACCCTTGAAGGAAGGAGGAACAACAGAAACTTTCGGAGATTCGCGCTGATTTCTTGGATCTGAGCTGGAACCCCTTCCCTGAGGCAGACGCGCCGCCAGGTGGGCCCAGCCCAGACCTAAGAAATCCGCGCGAACCTCCGAAAATTTACGTATGTATACGTATGCAGTTTCTCCGTCTTCGACATCCTGGCCCAGGGAAGAGAGCAGGCCCGTGACCGACGCCGGCAGCAGGGACAGCACGATGCCGGACAGGCTGGTGGCAGCTGGCCCAGCCGCACAGCTGGGCGGCACCGGGCTCGCCGCCCCCGTGAGGGGCTCGAAGCACAGGTCGTCACCGTCTTCCGGCAGCTGGTGCCATGAGACACCGCGCGAGGGCGGCGCCAAGCCTGTCTGGCACACCCGAAGAGACTACGGGCAAGAGTGCGCACGATGCCCAACAACACGTGAGCGACGATCAGAAGCGGGTCTTGCGCGAGATGGCACAGCAGCCACGCCGCGGCTTACGGAGGCCACCAGCGCAGCACGCCACATTGGAGACGAGGGCGCTGACGCGCGACCTTACGCGGGCAACTTGCGCGCCCATGTCGGCGCAGACGAACCCGTGTTCTTGCGTCGCTCAAGTGTTGTCCAAAATCGACAGCGGCTTCTGCCCCACGTGGACATGCACGGCTGCCGATATATTCGTCCACACCCTTGCCGCTCCCACTTCTGAATATCGTTTAACCGATCCCCATACCCACCAGCGTGGGCTTCACTGGCCGATTTACCCCCCTGAATGGGGATATATAGGCTGCTCTCCTCGGGCTCCGAGGGGCATGTCCCCAACGGAGGTGGTGAGACGGATGGGGCTCGAGACGTGCATGGGGATGGGGCTGGGGATGGGGCCTCGGTGAAACGACACGGAACTTCGGGCGTGCCCAGAAGCCTCGCCGCAGGTTCTTCAGCGAGCCCGTCCATAAGCCCTTCCCCCAGCTCCTCTTGGCGGCGCGCACAAGGGGGGTGGAGGGAGGGGGGAGGGCTTCTTAGAAGGAAGCTGCTTCTTAGAAGGCGCAGAGAAGGCCCGCGCCTTCTGAGAAGCAGGGGTCCTTCTAAGAAGTCCTCCCCCCTCCCCCCACCCCTCTCTGCGCGTGGCTGACCAAAGGCCTCGCCGCAGGTCCTTCAGCGAGCCCGCCCAGAAGCCCTTCCCCCAGCTCCTCGGCAGCAGGAGCCACGGCTGGGCCCTGCCGCCGCCGCCCCTCGGAGCCAGGCGCCTCGGGCGCGCCCGCGCGCCCGCCGCCGCGCGTCGCCCGTCGGAGCCCCATGGCAGGACGCTCGCCAGGGCGCCCCCCGGCGAAGGCAACGAGGGCCCCTCGCGCGCGGGCCTCTGAAGGGGCCCCAGGAAACACAAATAAATACACACAAATAAACGGATTCCCAATATTTTCACATATGTTCTGGGTTTCTGTCTTGCCCCCCACTTCCCATATTTTCCCATATTTTCTGGGAATCGCCGATTAATTGTGTCTGTGTGTGTTTTTCCGCTCCTGAGCCTCGACGAGGCGGCCCGCAGCAGCAGCTTGGACATCCGCGGCGAGGCACCCTGCGGCAGGAGGCCATCGTCCTTCACGGCCGGCCCCGGCGCAGGCGAGGCCGTCCGCCGCGACGGTTTGGGGGCGTTCGGCATGGTGGCGCGCCGTGCGGTCGGCCCTCGCTCCGGGCCGCCCCGGCGAGGCGAGGCGGGTGACGAGGGAGGACGAGCAGCGGGAGCACGGCCAGCTCGAGCCCTGGCGCCTTGCGCATTGGCTTACCACACAGCGCGGATCGCTCAACCTTGAACGAGAGTGACTCTCCAGTAGCGCGGGTCGCTCGGCATCGATAGAACTACCCGCGCAGGGGCCGCCGCGAAGACGCGACACGTGCATGCCGCAGGCGCAGCGACGGCAGCAGAGGGAGCGAGAAGAGGAAAGAACGCAGGCGCAGGCGCGCGAGCAAGCGCAGGGAGGGAGGGGATGAGCAGGATGCAGGACCACAGCGGGGCGCAAGAAAGGCTGCAGCCAATCCCTCCTCCTCCTCCTCCTCCTCCTCCTCCTCCTCCTCCTCCTCCTCCTCCTTCTCCTCCTCGTCCTCCTCTCCTCCTCCTCCTCTCCTGCCCCTTCTCCTGCCCCGTCCCTCCTCCTCCTCCTCCTCCTCCTCCTCCTCCTCCTCCTCCTCCTCCTCCTCCTCCTCCTCCTCCTCCTCCTCCTCCTCCTCCCCTTCTCTGTCAATCTCCCAACAAGGGCACAGGACTGGATGCGGAATGGTCGGAATGGAAAGGTGGGCGGCACATGCTGGCAAGCTCAGCCCGCCGTTCCCCCGAGGCGCGCAGCACGCACTCTGCATCTCAACTGGCCATCGCTGCTCGGACGTCCATTCCCTGTGCATGCTTCGTTGTCGTGCGTGCTTTGTTTTTCCAGCTCCATGATCCAGGATGCTCTTCGGAGGTCCTCGCCGAAGCAAAACATGCACACGTCCGAGCGATGCCGAGTCCAAGGGCAGCAGCGTGGAAGGTGGGCTCCCCGCTGCTCCGCCCCTGCGAAACACGGCAGCCCAGCGGTTAGAGGCGGCATACTATGGCGGTCAATCAAACATGTGATTGAGGAAATTATCAATTAAAAAAGCTGGGCCAGCATTTCAGAAGTTTCTTAAGGGAACGCTGGGCCAGCTTTGGGAGCCAGAAACGTACAGCATTCATCTCTAATTGCGCTCATTACTATAATAACAATAACTGAGCCAATTGTCCGGCAAGTCGGTTAAGAAACGCTGGTCCAGCTTTCCGGGTGAGGTTTCTGAATCAAAAGCGGGACCGTACCTTTGATTGTGTTTCGCCTCTCGACCCCCTCTGGGAGCGCGGGGACATCGGGCGCTGGAGCGGGCGCCCGTCGACTGCTCTCGGGACATCTCGCGAGGATTGCGCCAGCGAGCCGGGAGCGAGGGGGAGGGGCCGAGCGATGATGGAAGGGACGGTGCGGATAGCGGAGGTGCCAGTGATGGTGGTGAGGATGGCAGACACGACGGTGGCGATGGCAAGTGTGATGACGTCGGCAATGGTGCTGTGGGTATCGTCTGAGGACGTATATATCGGTGTATATATATATAGAGAGAGAGAGAGAGAGATAGAGAGATGGTGGTGATGGTGATGAGGGCCCCAGCAATAAGGCCAACGTGTGCGCAAGAGAAAGGCGGCATCTCAGAGACAGGAAATAAGAGGCATCAACGGCCAACTGCATCTCCAGCGGATGCGATCGAGAAAGCACAAGTGCCCCTCCTGCCCCGTGCCTCTTCCTCAAAAGTATTTCATCACTGTCCCACCACAGAGCGTGTGGGCAAAGCGAGCCGGGCGTTTCGCCCGAGATTCCCCCCCACACACACAATGTTTTCGACTTTGAAGCACTCTATCCGCTGGCCCCCTTTGTGGGGCCACCAGGCTGTAGGCCGAGGGTTTGCTGTTCCCTGCGCCAGTTCCAGCTTCCGGTTTCCACTGTTGCATTTATGCTTCTTGGTTGCTTACTGTTCCTTGTTGTAGACCACGCGAGGGGGGGCGGGGGGGGGGGGGGGGGGCGAAAATCAGCCTGGTTAACGTCTCCTGGGAGGGGTCTCAGAATTTCTGGGGGGGGCGTGGGACACGTACAAAATGTTAAATTCGCGCCCCCGACAACGTAAACCCTTGCAACTTACCCAACATTGGCGTCCCCGAGGCCATAAACCCTATACGCAATCTTCGCGTCCCCGAAGCCATAAACCCTTTGCAAATTATATATACATATAACGGCGCACCGGGTCTGGGGGCCCGGGGCCGGGACCTCGACCACAAATGTGGGCCCCGGGGGGCCCGGAGGCTCGTCGGACCGCCGGACGCCGTCCAAGATCGTTCGCATGCGGCTTCGGAACGCGCTCCGATGGCTCCAGATGCCTTCCAAGACGCCTGTCATGACACCAAGAAGGTCCCAGAAGCCTCCAAGACGCTCCGAGAGGCAGCCCAAGAGAGGCCCAAAAAGCAAAAATCGTGCCATTCCTATGGGAAAACGTATATTTTTCGCATGTTCGCCTCTTGGGCTTTCACCGCGTCCAAGACGGCCCAAGAGGCGCCCAAGACGGACAGGCCTCCGGGAGCGCTCCAAGGCTGCGCACGAGTGGCCCAGGACGGCCCCAAGACGGCCCAAGAGAGCCCCAAGACGAGTTCGAGAGGGGTCCCAGACGGAGAAAGCCAACCTCGAATTCCGAGCTTCCGGCCCAAGAGGCTCCAGGAGGCGCCAAAATGCCGCCAAGAGGCGCCAAAAGGCTCCCAAAAGCACCCCAAGACGTTCCGAGAGGCACCCCAAGAGAGGTCCAAGAAACGAAAATCGTGGGAAAACGTATATTTTCGCATGTTCGCATCTTGGGCTTTCACCGCGTCCAAGACGGCCCAAGAGGCCTCCAAGACGGCCTAGGAGGCCTCCGGGAGCGCTCCAAGGCTGCGCACGAGTGGCTCAGGACGGCCCCAAGACGGCCCAAGAGAAGCCCAAGACGACTTCGAGAGGGGTCCCAGAAGGAGAAAGCCAACCTCGAATTCCGAGCTTCCGGCCCAACATATCCCAGGAGGCGCCAAAACGCCGCCCAGAGGCGCCAAAAGGCTTCCAAAATCAGCCCAAGACGTTCCGAGAGGCACCCCAAGAGAGGTCCAAGAATCAAACATCGTGCCATTCCTATGGGAAAACGTATACTTTTCGCATGTTCGCATCTTGGGCTTTCACCGCGTCCAAGACGGCCCAAGAGGCCTCCAAGACCGCCCCAAGACGGCCCAAGAAGCTTCCAAGAGGGCCCCAGGACAGCCCAAGAGGGCCCCAAGACGGCCCAAGAGGCGCCCAAGATGGCCCAAGAGGGCCCCAAGACGGGCCCAAGAGGGGGCCCAGAGGGGGACCACGAACCGCAAGCTCGAGCCTTCCGCCCCAAGAGGCCGCCAGGAGGCCCCAAGGAGGCCCCTCAAGAGGCCCCAGGAGACCCCCAAGAGGCCCAAAGGAGGCCCCGAGAAGCCCCAAATCGGCCCCCAAAATGCTTCGAACCTGCTTCCAGGAGGCCCCCGACAGGTTCAGAGGCTCCCGAGAAGCTACGTCAAACTCCCAGCGAGCGGCCGGACGAGGCCCCCCACAAAATCACAAGAGGGTTCCAGTATTTGTATCCTTCAGCGCTCTCTGGCCTTCTTCCCCCTGCCCCCATTCCCTGCGACTTTCGTTGACTCAAGCTCGCCTCCTAGCTAGAACCTAAGCGCGCGCGAAGCGCGCGCGTGGTTCTAGTACTATATCCGTGAGGCCACAAACGCTCGTAAATCACGCAATGTTCGCGTCCCCAAAGCCATAAACCGTCGAACATTACATTATGCTCGCGTCTCCGAAGCCATACACCCTCGTAAATTACGCGATATTTGCGTTCCCGACGCAGTAAACCTTTGAACTTGAGTTAGTATTCGCGTCCCCGAAGCCATAAACCCTTGCAGATTACAATATATTCGCGTATCCGAAGCCATAAACCTCAGTAAGTTATACAATATACGCGTCTCCGAAGCCATAAAAACCTGCGTAAGTGACAAAATATGTGCGACCTCGAAGCCATAAATTATACAATAATCGCGCGTCCGAAACCATAACCCATGCTAAATTATCAAATACTCGCGTCTCCGCATCCATAAACCTGCGTAACTTATGCTATAGTTGCGACCCCACACACATTATTCGCGTATCCGAAGCCATAAACCATCGTACAGTAAAGTGTACCCGCGTCGCCGAAGCTATCAACCCTTATACATTACGTTACAAGTACGCTTTATTCGCGTCCCCGAAACCATGAACCATATCATCAATATCTCAATTTCTCTTCCCGATGCTTCTTCACGGCGGCGCCGAGGCGTCATGATTCAGCTCTTGCATAGCCCATTCTCCGAGAGAGGGCCGACGGCAAGGGGCGAAGCCCTTACGGATAATCTCCCAAGTTATGCTGGTGGAGGGCGGGCCGTTTTTTCAAAAGCGGGCTCTCGCCGTGACGTCGCGAGCAACCCACGTAAGCAAATCCACAAGATGCACGGGTAAAGGGCGAGCCGCTTTCAAAATGAGGCTCTCGCGCTGGCGCCGCGAGTCCTCTTCGTTTGCACAAATATTACAAGTCCTCTGGGTCACGAGACTTCGCTTCCATCTTCCAGGACGCCTTCTGCCGGTAGTGGAGAACGGGTTTACCCCTACCCCTTCCCACTTCGCTTGGCCTGGACAGGGGGGCCGATGTGTGAGAAGGTCGTTGTGGCCAGGGGCGGACAGAATCCCCTTTGGCAGCGCTCCCCCCATAGAAAACGATCAAGGGCCCGACCCGCTGGGCGCAGGCTGGCACACATGGTGGCCGCAACGCCCATTCGAGAATCGAACAAAAGAAATCCTCATTCTCCTCCTCCTCCTCCATCGTCCTCCTCATCCTCCTCCTCCTCCTCCTCCTCCTCCTCCTCCGTCGTCCTCCTCCGTCGTCCTCCTCCGTCGTCCTCCTCCGTCGTCCTCCTCCTCCTCCTCCTCCTCCTCCTCCCCTCCTCCTCCTCCTCTCCCATCCTCCTCCTCCTCTCCGTAGCCATTTTGGCTCAAGCTGCTCTCGCGGGCGCGCTCCAGGGCCCAAACCGGCTCATCGTCACGGGCGTCCGGAGCTGAAGCTCCTGGAGGTGGCCCGCCGGGGAATGGCTGCGGGAGGCGCCTCGTCCTGCGGGGCGCCTCGTCCTGCGGGGTCCCGCTGGAGCGCGGGCCTCTGCAGACAATCTCCTCGCGAAGCTCCAGGCGAAGCTTTCGGCGGCCCAAGGTGAGCTGCAACGGCTCCGGGCCCAAGGTGGCTGCGGCGCCGACCGTCGCGCCCGGCGCGGCGGAGGCGGCGCGGCGCGCGAGGCCATCGCTCGACCGGCCCTGCGGGCCCTCGCCGAAGGCTCGCAGAGGTGCCTGGTACGACTACCTACCAGACCACCCCAACCCAACCCGAAGACCCGAATTTCGGGTTGGGGGGGGTAAGTGTTCCACATGTGTTTTTTCAATGTTTCCCGACCTCCCCCCCACTGGAAATCGAAGGTAAATCTGAGCCTTCGGGTTGGGTTGGGGTGGTTTGGTGGGTGGTGATGGTATACACAGGCTGGAGCGCAACGGTGCCCTTCATGCCGCGTGTTGCCCGCCTGCTGGGGGGCGCCCATCGCCGACTGGAGGCGTGCCCTGCAGGGGGCCCGCGTGGAAGGGCGGTCGGCCTCGGCGGCAGTGGGCGATAGCCTGCACTTGTGGCGCCGTGGCGTGCTCCTCTTGCCATGTGGCTGTGAGAGGGCAGTGCCTGCACGCTGGCGCTTCTCCTGTCGTGCCCGGCGCGGGGGTCTGGGCCCCCATGCCTGCTGATGCTGCAGGCGACTCGATGGCCGTGGCTGCCGATGTTGCTTCGCGTGCTTCTTCGGTGGATGCAGTCGACACCCTCGGGGCCGAGATGGCTGCTGTTCATCACGATGAGGCAGACGCCAGCACCGTCGTGGCCGAGTTCTGCGCGTTCGTCGAAGAGCTGGTGGCCTGGTCTGGCGTTGGCCGATCTTCCAAGCCGTTCGTGCAGATTTGGAAGCGGCTCGACGGTGTTCAAGGCGTTCCACGCGAAGGAGGTGCGGTGGCTACTCCTTCGTCTGGTCCAGCTGGCGGCGAGGGAGTTCCTGAGGTATCTGCTTGCGCTTGGTATCCTGTTCATCTTCCTCCTGATCCTGGAAAGGGCCACCTTTTCGGTATGCAGTCTGCCTCCAGCTGATTATAAAGGCCACGGCGCGTTTCTGGAATACTATACGATACATGTTCTGGCATTGTGTGCTCTTCCTTGGCATTATGTGTTTTTTCCCATGTTATACGGGGCTTCCTGGCACGTGCAGTTGTTTTCGCCCAGTGCTGCATGCGGCTGCCGGATGGATCGGAACAGAGCTTCTGCGGTATCGGGCTCGGCGAAATATGCTATGAACCGCGTCGTGTGCGTGCAGTACCTCCCCCTGTCGCTGTACGCGGTGCGCCACTTCTTGGGAGTCTTCTCGCTATTGGAGGCGGCACTTCAGGGGTGTGCGCGTTGATGTCAGAAACAATCGTCCTCCTCCTCCTCCTCCTCCTGCTTGCCTCCTCCTCCTCCTTTCCTCCTCCTCCTCCTCCCTCCTCACTCCTCCTCCTCCCATTCGAAAACCAAACAGATCGGGGGGGCAGGAAGGTTGGATAACCCAAAAGGTGGGCTTGGAGGGAAAATTTGAGGGAAAATCGCTCCAAACGGCCCCTGGAAGAAGGAAACGCGTTAATGCCATGATGCGGCTGGCCCGGGCGATGCTCCTGGGAATTCCAAAGCCTCTGGCCGCCCTAGGCCACTCGTGCTCGGCAGGTCGTCTATTGTGAAGGGGCCCTGGGACACACAAAGAAATACACACAAATCAAAGCATTCCCCATATTTTCCCATAGTTTCGGGGTTTATGTCTTCCCCCCCACTTCCCATATTTTCCCATGTTTTCTGGGGAATCGACGACGATGAATTGTGTCGGTGTGTTTTTGTCCCTCCTGAAGTTCGTCTATGGCCGCGCAGGGCAGCAGCACAAAACCTGGCGAGCCTGGAGCCTGTCGCTGTCCTGCTCCTCCGGGAGACCCCTCGCCCCTGCGAGGCCCCCCTCCGCGGCGAAGGGAGCCCCGCCGGACCACTGCCGCTCCCGTCCACGCCCCCCCGCCCCCCGCCTGGCGTTCTGTCGGGCCTGTCCCCCTACAAGGGGGATTTTCGAAGAAAAATGAAAGATACACCAAACATACAGCAAAAAGGTAAAAACAAAAAAAAAAAAAAAAAGTCCCCAGACTATTTGTGTATCATTTGTGGAATGTTTTGGGTATCTTTTATTCTTCGTCGAGAATCCCCCTGTAGGGGGACAGGACCGACATACCGCCAGGCGGCAGACACCCCTCCCCCCCCCCCTCCAATCGCCGGCTCAAAGATGGGGCCCTGAAGGATGGGGCGTCCCGAGGACGATGGGCCTCGGACAGTGCGGACTCAGCCCGGGGATCCCGTCCCATCCTCAGGGTGGGGGCATTGAATAATGCGGGATGACGATTAATCAAAAAATTGGAGAGAACGGTTAAAAACATAGTTTTCTGCTATTTCTGCATAATTTTCTGACTGGAGGAGAACGATTAAAGAATAGGTTTCCAGCCCGCGGCCGAATTTTTCTAATCGTCATTCCGGGCGCCGCCGCGTGAACACGACCCCGGGTCATTCATTAATCGTCATCCTCCATTATAGGGAAACCTTAGACAAGGAATCCAGGGTCTGGCAGCCCGTGGACCACCGCCTGCGGCCCGGCCACGGAGAGCACCGCCGCCCGCACCGGACGTCTTCGACGCATCTGCGTTTGGGGCTCGAAGCTCGGGCCTCTGGCTTGGGCGCCGCGTAATTGGGGGGTCATAAATGGGGGGGTGGCGAGGGTGGTTCGAAAAGGTACCTAAACGAGCCCCCTGGGGCTCTGGAGGGGCCCGAAAGGGGCACGAAAGGTGACCTTTTCTGATCCCCCCGTTTATGACCCCCCCATTAAGTCCCGCCCGACTGGCGACCGCTCGTGGCGATCCGGGCAAACCCCGGAACGCTCTGGGCGAGGCGCCGCTGCTGGCAGGCCCCGCGAGGCTGGAAAACAGCTGGGGACCTGCGACGAAAATCCACGAACACCTGGAGCCTCGACTCCGAGAAAGTCGCCTGCAGGTCGTGCACCCCTCACGCTGCCCCCGCCTCCGAACCTGCTGTCTGTCATCTCCGGCAGCGGTGGGTCTCCTGGGGGTGGGGCTGGGGCCCCGGACAACGATGACGCCCGGGTTATGTTGTTCCCATCCTACTTACGGACCGCATCCCAGAAATAATTTCGAGCAGCCGGAAAAGTGTCAAAAGAGTGCCGAAACAGTGTCGAAACAGTGTCGAAACAGTGTCGAAACAGTGTCGAAACAGAGCCCGGCAGGTGAAAACCCTTGAGTCTCGGTGCCCTCTTGGGCGCTCGAGATCTCTCCTGGCGATCAAGGCTAAAGGAGGTTGGAACATCATGACGCTCAGGGTGGGCTGGGGCCTCTCGGGGCGAGGGGCGCGCTGCGACCGCCAGAGCCAGCGCGCGAGCACGCCACGGGGGGGGCGGGGGGGCGACCAGGCCCTCGCCGCCGCTTTCCGGGCGGGGTGGGGGGGGGCTCGGGGCAGGGCCGTGGCGGCCAGTGGGCCCCAAAAGCGGTGCGGTGGTCACACCGCGTGGCGAGTCCGTGGGGATTTTCGGGGTCCCCGCACGGTCTTGGGACTCGATCGACTGGGGCCCCCGAGGTCCCAAGGCCCTGCGATGACGGGCCGCGCGGTGAGGTCCTCGGGGACTCCGAGGGCACCGCGCGAACCGCGCGGTGAGGTGGGTGGGGATTCCGAGGTCGCCACGCGGTCCGTCACCACGCGGTTCTTCGGGGCCCCCGTGTTACAGGCCCCGGGCTTTGAGCCGCCGATCTCCCCGCAGGAGGGGCGGCCGCCGCGGCCGCCAGCAGCGGGCGCCTCACCGCCTTCAGCCCGGCGGCGTAGAACTGGCTGATCACCAGCTCCAGGTTCGGCTGCCGCCGGAGCGGGGTGGCGGGGCAGGATCAGTCAGCATTGAATCGGGGAGTCTGATCGAATCGAGAGCTACGTCGGGTCGGGCTGCATCGGCACACGAGATCAACATCGAATCTGATCAGCAGCGCCCATGCAAGCATCGGGCCGCGTCGGATCGCCCTAAGGTCGGACTCAAATCGGATCGAGCCTGGAAAGATCGGCATCGAATCGGATACCCCGGGGAGGGGTAGCGGCGCGGGGAAGGCGCTCGGTTGCGATACCCTCCCGAGTCGTGACTCAAAGTCACGGCTGGGAAGTCTTCTGATATGTTCGGCCTCCGTGGGCCGTCCACGGGCCCTGTGACCGTCGAAAGATTGCTTAGGACTGATGGCCCGACTTCCCACCACCACTACCATGGGGAGTAGGAGGAGGAAGAGGAGGAGGAGGACGACGAGGAGGAGGAGGAGGAGGAGGAGGAGCGAGGAGGAGCAGGAGGGAGGGAGGAGGAAGGAGGAGAGAAGGAGGAGGAGAAGGAGGAGAGAGGAGGAGGAGGAGAGGGAAGGAGAATGAGGGGAGGGAGGGGGAGAGGAGGAGGAGGAGGATGAGGAGGAGGAGGAGAGAGGATGAGAGGAGGAGGAGGAGGAGGAGTAGGAGGAAGGAGGAGGAGGAGGGAGGAGGAGAGAGGAGGAGCAGGAAGAGGAGGAGGAGGGGAGGCGTGAGGCTAGGAGGAGGAAGGAGGAGGAAGGAGGAGAGGAGGCGAGGATGAGGAGGGGGAGGAAGGGAGGAGGAGGTTCTTCTGGCGCCACAGCTTCCCCACACTCCCCCGGGCCCAGCTTCGGGCCGCCGCCCGCGCGGGGTGGGGGGGGCAAAGACGGCGCGGAGAGGGCGCCCGCTGCCCAACGCAGGACAGAGCCAGTACCAGGACAGCATCGGACTCCTCCTCCTCCTCCCCTCTCTCCTCCTCCTCCTCCTCCTCCTCCTCCCTCCTCCTCCCTCCTCCTCCTCCTCCCCCCTCCTCCCCTCCTCCTCTTCCTCCTCGCTCCTCCTCCTCCTCCCCTCCTCCTCCTCCCCTCCTCCTCCTCTCCCCCTCACTCCTCCTCCTCCCCCTCCTCCGCCTCCTCCCCCTCCTCCTCGCTCCTGCTCCTCCTCTCCTCCTCCTCGCTCCCTCCCTCCTTCCCTCCCTCCGGGATCTGGCAGCTCTGGGGGCTGCGTCGGGCCCCGCGGGCGCCACAGATCTCGGCGGCGAGCGAGGGAGGGGAAACAAGCATGAGCATCAGCAACAGCATCAGCAACAGCAACAGCAATCATGTTAACACTGCTCGCTCATACCTGCCTGCGTGCCATTCAACACGTCTATCGCGATGGCCAGGAGCTGCGTCCAGACCAGGAGTCGGAGATTGGCAAACATCGGCGGCGAGCGAGGGGGGGAGTCAGAAGGGGGGAGGCCTTCTCAGAAGGCTCGGCAGCCCCCCAGGCCTTCGAAGTTTTCTGGAGGCCGTCCCAGAAAGCACGGGAAAAGAAAAGCCTCTTAGAAGGCGCGAGGGCTTCCGAGGAGTGCCCTCGCGCCTTCTGAGAAGGCCTTCTCCTTCCCACTTCCCCAGGAGAGCCCAGGATCGAATCGATAAGTCGGATCGGCTGACGACATGAATCGGATCGGCGGAAATCGGCAGCCAAGTCTGGAAAAGTCGAATCGGCGGACGTCGGAAAGCTAGCATGCCTCCAAAGAGAAATCGGAACCCAAACCGGAATCCCAAGTCGAATCGAATCGGAATCGGAAGCCATCGAAGTCGAGTCGAATCGAATCGGAGGACTCGAAATAAGCCCTGCCTCCCCCCTCGCTCGCCGCCGAAGATCCCTCCGCAGCGCTCCGCGGGCGTCCTGGGACGCTCCGACGCGGTGCCTGGTGCCCCCTCCTGCGGGCTGGCCCGCCCGCGGGCGCGAGAGGGACGCCCCGCGGGCACGAAGGCCGTGGGGCGGCAGATGGTGGGTTCAATTCTTTCACCAACCAGAGGTAGAAGGGGAGGGGGTCCTCCCTCCTCCTCTTCTTCCTTCCCTTCCTCCTTCCTCCTCTCTCCTCTTACCTCCTCCTCCTTCCTCCCTCCTCCTCCTCCTCCTCCTCCTCTCCTCCTCAATCATCATGATCATCATCATGATCATCATGATCACATCAGATCATCATCATCATCACATCATCATCATCATCATCATCATCATCATCTCATCATCATCATCATCATCAACATATTCATCATCATCATCATCACATCATCATCCCTCCTTCCCCCCTCCAACTTCTGGTAGTGGTAAAAAAGCCCATCAGCAGCCCGCGGGGGGGGGGGGGGGCTGGAGAACGTCGGGCTCGACATCGAGCCACATATCGCCGATGCCTCGGCGATGCATGGCGCGATCCTCCGACCCCAGCCACCGCGACCCCCCTTCCGGGGGAGGCCCATCGATTGCCGCTCGCCTCGAAAATCCCCTCGGCCCTTCGGGCGCGGGTGGTCCGACGAGAAGCTTCCTGCCTCTTCCAACACCCCCCTTCCCTTCGGGGGGGGGGGGGCGCTTCCGCATGCCACTCCAGCGTGCCCCGTCGGCCACCCGGGCGAGCGAGCCGCTCGGGCGCCGGCGCCGCCACGAAAGAGGGCATGGCCACCCCCGCGCGTAGCGAGAGCGGGTCACGGCGGGGGGGGCGACTTGCCAATCTCCGGCCCCTGGTCTGGAAGCAGATGCCGGCAATCGGCGGCGAGCGAGGGGGGGGTGTGAGGAGGAGGAGGCCTTCTCAGACGGAGCGAGGACACTCCTCGGAAGCCCTCGCGCCTTCCCAGAAGCTCCTGGCTGTCTTCGGGGACGGCTTCTAGAAAACTTTTCCGACGGCTGGGGGACTTCCGAGCCTTCTGAGAAGGACCTCTCCTTCTGACTCCCTCCCTCGCTCGCCGCCGATGTTTGCCAATCTCCGACTCCAGGTCGGGACGCAGCTCCTGGCCATCGCGATAGACGTGTTGAACGGCACGCAGGCGGGTATGAGCGAGCGAGCGAGGAGGGGGGAAGGAGGTGGGTGATGATGATGATGATGATGATGATGATGATGATGATGATGATGAGGATGATGATGATGATGATGATGATGATGATGATGATGATGATGATGATGATGATGATGATGATGATGATGATGATGATAATGATGATGATCATGATGATCATGATGATCATGATGATGCTGATGATGATGATGATGATGAGGAGGAGGAGGAGGAGGAGGAGGAGGAGGTAGAGGAAATGGAGGAAGGAAGGAAGGAAGAAGAGGAGGAGGAGGAGGACCCCCTCCCCCTTCTACCTCTGGTGGTGGCGGTGAAAGAATTGAACCCACCATCTGCGCCCCCGCCGGCCTTCGTGCCCGCGGGGCGTCCCTCTCGCGCCCGCGGGCGGGCCAGCCCGCAGGAGGGGGCACCAGGCACCGCGTCGGAGCGTCCCAGGACGCCCGCGGAGCGCTGCGGAGGGATCTTCGGCGGCGAGCGAGGGGGGAGGCAGGGCTTATTTCGAGTCCTCCGATTCGGTTCGACTCGACTTCGATGGCTTCCGATTCCGATTCGATTCGACTTGGGATTCCGGTTTGGGTTCCGATTTCTCTTTGGAGGCATGCTAGCTTTCCGACGTCCGCCGATTCGACTTTTCCAGACTTGGCTGCCGATTTCCGCCGATCCGATTCATGTCGTCAGCCGATCCGACTTATCGATTCGATCCTGGGCTCTCCTGGGGAAGTGGGAAGGAGAAGGCCTTCTCAGAAGGCGCGAGGGCACTCCTCGGATACCCTCGCACCTGCTGAGAGGCTTTTCTTTTCCCGTGCTTTCGGGGACGGCCTCCAGAAAACTTCGAAGGCCTGGGGGGCTGCCGAGCCTTCTTAGAAGGCCTCCCCCCTTCTGACTCCCCCCCCCCCGCTCGCCGCCGATGTTTGCCAATCTCCGGCTCCTGGTCTGGACGCAGCTCCTGGCCATCGCGATAGACGTGTTGAATGGCACGCAGGCAGGTATGAGCGAGCAGTGTTAACATGATTGCTGTTGCTGTTGCTGATGCTGTTGCTGTTGCTGTTGCTGTTGCTGTTGTTGTTGATGATGTTGTTGTTATTGACTTCTCATGCTTAAGCCATGAGTAATATTGATTCCCCCACCTGTGCACATGCTGATTTTCAGTTGAAGTGCTCCTCCCGGGGTTTCCCCCTTGTTTTTAACATTGGAGAATCTCCATGCTCAAACTGAGTCCCTGGCCCCAGAGTTACAACAACAACGGCTTACGCCTGCTACTTCTTCACAGTGTATTCCAAAATCACGCTCTCGCGAGGGACGCCCTTACAATTTATACAGAAATCGCGGTCTCGCGTGGGACTTCTCGCGATGTATTCAGACGCCGCGCCCTCGACACTCAGAAATCACGCTCTCGCTCTGGCATGTTTCATTGGTTTCCTTGGGAATCGCGCTATCGCTCGAGACGTCCTCGTGGTTCATGCAGGACTCACGCTTCAGCAACCCGCCTGCTCGACCTGGCCGCTTGGGCCCGTCTTCCCGACTCGCCCGCTAGGGTCCGCCCGCTCGATCGGCCCGTCTGGTTCTGCCACGTGCTTTCTGTTGCTAGCCCCCACTGCTGCTAATAATTGCTCTCGTGCTCCATTATTCTCCCTCCCCCTTCTGTCCGTCCTCTTCTGCCCTGTTATAGGCTCTGCGCTAATTGCTCGTGGCAGGTACAGAAAATATAATCCGAAGGGGGCACGATCGAAGAAGAAGAAGAAGAAGAAGATGTGTACCGAGGGTTTCACATATACGTGTTGAATGGCACGGGAGCAAATAATATCGACCAGTCTTAGCATGATTGTTGTTGTGGCTGCTGCTGTTGTTGTTGGTGTTGTTGCTGTTGTTGTACGTGTTGTTAGTGCTGGTGTTGGCGTTGGTGTTGTGGTTGATGTTGCTGCTGTTGTTGCTGCTGTTGCTGCTATTATTGGTAATGTTGCTGAATTGTGATTATCTGA